CTCTTTTTTTCCCTTTTTTTTTTGTTTGGTTTGTTTTATTCTTTCAACAGTATCACTGACTTAACTAAACAGAGAAAACATGAATGAATGGAGCAAAACCTTTTATTAATGAGCACCTTGCTCTTGGTCCTGCCTAGTATTGTTAGGGATAGCAGGAGATGTTAAATAGCTTGTGAATGAGATGGAGATGTGGGCAGGGTCTCTGAACATTTTGGGAAGAACACTATTCTGCCTTGAGTGGAAGACGAAAGATCTTTTCTGCGCACTTCTAAATACTGGAGGTTATCAACACTGGCAAGAGATCTGACAGGAGCAAAATAACACTGTTGTTTGGAGGGCTATATAATACAGGATACACTCTCCAGCTGCAGTATGTGGTCAAGCACTGGAAACCTAAGCAGGAGTTGGTACAGCACATATATGTGACATGCTAAGGTAGTGCTCTCACACCAGAAATATACCTACTTCTATGCCAGTCTGTGCCTAGAATTTCTCAGGCAGATATATTTAAGTTCAGGGTTAATCAAGTAATGTCTGAAAAACTCTTTGAAGGTAAAAAGTATTATGTGTCATCTGGCCAAATCATACTTGCTCCTGACTCAGGCAAATCCCTCACTGGTGCCAATAATAATTCTGTCTGAGTGAAGGCTGAGTAAGATTTTCTACATTTGACCCATTGTTATTAGAAGGCACTTTTTGTTTCATTCATTTAAAGCACACAGAGCAATCATGACATAAGATGAAGATACCAGGAATGACAAGCAATCTAAAACACTTCAAGGAGCTGGAGTTTCAACCCGTGTTGGTAGACCCTTGCCACTTTATGCCCGCAAGGGTTTTGCTCGGCAATGAAAAGGCATTCCGTGTCCCCCCCATGGCTTCATGTTGCTTTTACATTTCGTAGCCACTCTGTTTTGTTCCTTACCTAGCAAGGGTGAAGTTAGCAAACCCCCTTACATCTGAACGTGGTAATGGAAAATGAGAAAACTACAGCCAATAGACTCTAACCTTTGAGGTTCTTCCCCTCCAGACTTTAGCTTATACAGATCTTACAACAGCTTGTGCTTTTTTAGTGTTTACCCTCTTTCCTGTCCTTCCTTTCTTTCTCTCTCTCACATATCTCTGTCTTCTCAGGTGTGCTTACCTCCTACCTAGAAATATTCCACTTTTACTATATTACTGTCAATCATTGTATTTTAGTGGAAAAGAGTAATTTATAAATATAGGCATTGTAAGGTCTTTAATTTCCATGAGATGACTACAGGCGCATGAGCTGAGAGACAGGCAAGGAATTATAGTAAGAGTAAATGAAACATACAGAAGTAATTGAACAATCAACTAAAGTTTTAAAATGTTATATATTGCAAGTCCTTTTCAATTAAGCGCTTTTATAAGTTTTTCACTGTTATAAGGCATCCACAGTACACCCTCATCTATGTTTTACTGACCTCAGTTGCTATACTGTTATATACCGTTACACTTACGGGTCTGTCAGCATTATAAACCCTGCAGCGATTCTTATAAACACATCTTTGTAACACAAACCTCACTATAATACATCTAAATTTCTTGGATCTTGTGAACAGCCCAAAGTCTGTTGTAATTATACGAAGTCTGAAAGTCAGCTTGAAATAGAACTAAAAGTTTAATTGGACGAAAAAATAATTTCAGATGAAAATATGCGTTCATGATTAGATGTACTAACAGATGACATAATTAAAGGGGTTATTTATAGTTCTAATATAGCACCTGTCCCAACAGTGTCTGTTGAAAAGTAAGGGATAGGCACAAATCAATCTAAGATTCAGATAAGTATATTTGAGTTCTTGCTGTAGGGTATATGTTGCTTGCCATATATAACAGGTACACATCACCGACAATCTCTATTATATATAGGTATAGCATATTTTACTTGCATGCCATGTTGATGACAGATTTAACATTACAGTATAACTTTCTAAAAACCACTGCTTTCTAAATGCGAGTCTGACACCGCTGATATATAGTTCATTTGTACTTACATACATGCATACATACGTATATGTGCAAAAATACATAGTGTTCAAATAAATAGAGGAATGGTGGTTCAGACTCCTTCTATAAAATTACCTGAGCTGCAAAGCTCTGAATATGCATTCATTCAATATAGCCCCAACAGAATGCAACAGCATGCACAGGAATCAAAAGTTTCAATTTTAAAAAGAAAAAAGCTGATTTAAAGTTTTACCTCTCTAGTCTTGACTCTCAGAAGGAGACTCCTGTATTGTGCATTAAGAACTGCTGAAGTTCCTCTCTGTGGTATTTATAATGCGAAGCTTTATACTGTACTTCTCATGTGTACACTCACATATAATGTCTGTCAAAAGTAAGTGGGCCGGATCACTGTGCTGGATTGGTTAATCCTGTTACATCAGCAATTGACTGTTTTTCCTGTATGAGACATAGTTCTGGTAATTATCTAATGGAAACTCCTAATTGTCTAGCATGACAAAATATCGTGGATTCAACTTGTAGTGGTGATCTCTGTATCCATTTAAAGAATAGAACTTAAAATCAGACTGAAAGCAAACATTATGAGTCAGGAAGACACACTCCAACTTGTTTTATTTCATAGGTGGATATAGATATTATTAGATGTAGATACCACTGATTTAGTTCAAATACAGTATATGCCAGATACTTCACTACTAGTTTGTAAATTGTTACCTTTTTCTTTCATGATTAAGGATATACCATATAATCTGTTTGAAATTTGGAGTCTTTTCAAATTCAGGAAAATTCATTTGATTAAGAGTCCTTCTGCTGTGGATGATTTTTTTTTATAAATTCAATCTTCATATAAATATGTCTGTCTGTTAACTTAGGGATCCCTTTAAAGCTCTTAAAAAATGAATCATATTGCTCTTGTCCAAGTCTCCTGGCTTCTTGACGTGCAGATTGCATCATGCTATTAAAAACTGTTTAGATATCTAAAAATAAGTTACAATGAATGGCAGGTCACATTTTTTTTTTGCAACTGTGATATTATGTGGAATAAAATAAAATGCAATTTTTGTTTCAGTTTGCATTAATGGAAATCAGAAATAGCTGTATGCCAACTAGGCAGTAGAGAAGTAATATATGTAAGGTCAAAAGTAAATCCAAAATCCTGCTCCTTTCTTAAACACACATAATAGCTGGCTTTATGTGGTACCGTTTATGTCATGATCATGCAGTCTTTACTCATTCAAAACACCCACTGATTACCAGAAAATCCCCATCCTTCAGATTTTTTTTTTGGCCTGAATCGTACTTATAATTGTATTTTTATGTCCTGTTGGTAATGTAAGTTTAATCTGTCTTGGAATATGGCTGATCTGGATCAGGGAAGAAAGATTTAAAATTTGCAATTTACAGGGGTACCAGGGAGTCCTTACAGCAGCGTTGATTCCAACTGGTGTGTGTGCTGTATTCGCACAACAGATTTGGTAGAATGAGCAAAAAATCAAGAGTTAATGAGAAACATATGACCAGATAGGTTGTTTTGTTTCTCAGGTTTAATATGCATATAATAAGTTTTCAGGCTGTAGCATGCTGTGGATTGCAGTCTCTTGAAACAGGTTTCAGTAGCTTTCCTGCAATCTGACACTGGTCGTTCCAGTTGTTACAAAGAACAGCTTTTTTATTTTCTGCTTTTTTTATCTCTTCAGGGACAGCGAGGGACGTGCCTGAAGACACAGATAATGAGCATGCACATACCTAGCTATCTGCCGGACCATCTTTATACTGGGGATCTTAAAATTGAGTTTTGGCAAAGGACTTTCCCAGCATGGAATTCTTTTTTTTCTCAGGACCAGACTGAATTTGGTTTTAACCGGCATCCTAAAACTCTTTGAAATTTGTTACATACGGGTAGTGCGGCGGCTGTTGTAATTTGGCAGCAGGCATATGCTCAGCAAGAGATCTTGTATTGCGTTGGTTTTACAGAGAGTGGAAAAATTTGCCCTGAAAGCAACACAGTTATCTTCTCCTTGGACTCGGCATAGCCAGGCGTTTCGGTCGCAGCAGCTGGAGCGACGGCTGCTGCCCATCCCAGCCCTACCGATGCAGCACCCAGCCAGCCCGGAGCTTCTCCCGCAAAGGCAGCGAGAATTCCCGGTGTGAAAGTGTGTGGTCTGTGACAAAAAGCAAAGGCTACCGAGCGAAGCACGGCAAACATGTACGTGATTTATAGCGCAGGATAACTTCTGAAAGGAGATTAGAAGTGAAAAGCATTATTCATTTCAGACCATGCTCCTTATTGCCTCGGGGAATTTGTGTATAGCTTTACCAAAGGCCTAATGAAAGCTTTACTCGGTGACTAATTTTTTTTTTCACACCTATTTCTCTCTTTATAAATATTTCTCTCCCCACCCCTCCACTTCTTTTCATTTTGTTGAACACAGCAACACCTGCTGGCAGTGGTCCGGGAGTACTGCTGGAAAGACCCACTGATCTAACTCTTCAGACCAGCTGCCATTGAGCACTGCCAAACCATATTAATGAGCTGCCTCTATTTTTACCCCTTCCCGTCAGAAAGGGCAATTGCTCCTGGGAAAGTCTGTAGCTGTTGTGGTTTTTTACTCCTTCTTCTTCTTTCTTTTTTCTTTTTTTCTTTTTTTTTTTCCCTGGCAGCTTCAGAATCCAGATAATCATTGTTCATTTAGTGAGGCTGGGATTTCTAACTTAAATTCTGATAACACTGATTGAGACCACTTAAAACACCGGAGTGATGCTGAGCCTATCTTGCTGGCTCACAAGCATACTTCACTTCCCTGCTGGATGAGAAATAATTAAAAGAATGGGACTGAGGGAGAAAGGTTAGTATTCCAGCAACCTGTCTCTTTTTTTGCCTAATTGTGGATTTTATCTTGCAAAGCATTAAAAATAATGGCTCAGTGCCACTTCATTATTCACCTAGTGGAGACTGTGTGATTTCCTGGTTATTTTGGAATCCTGAATTGCACACAACAGTATTTGTGCGTCTCCATTCCTGCTTTGAAGAGCAGTCATTAGAAAACACGTTGGCACAGATTTCTGTGCAAATCAGCTGGAATCTCACTCTGTTGTACCTCATTTTGCTGTAATAGCAAGAAAAGATATGCCAGAAACTTATATTTAGAAGTTTTATGTTTTTACTTTTATGTAAGTGGACCAATTAAGGCCAGTCTTGCTGTTGCTGCTAACTCTAATGCTTATGTGCTGTTTAGAGGGGCCAGTGATTTCAATAATAATTAGTGAGCTGGTTCAAAAAATAAAGTTCATCTGAGGATAAGCACTCGGTCTAGAGGGTGGGGTAAAGAATAGCTTTCAAATTCTTGCCTTTAAAAAAAATATTAATAGATGACACTTCTTGCAGAGGGCAGGATAAGTATAAATGTTCTAAGATAATCTTACGTAAAGTCAATCTGACTAACAGAAGCAAGTATGGTAATTTTCTTTCTAATCTATACCTATGTCTTCATTGATCTTTCTTCTTGCCGACTCATGGAATAGTGAGTTGTTTCTTTAACAGGATATTTTTATGTCTGTGTTATTTCAGCGTATGTGTTGCCTTTTTACACTTAAAAATAAAAAAACAAGAGATATGAATACATAAGCCAGGTGACACAGATGATGTTATTAGTGTGATGTGATATGACATAAATCTCTTCTACAATCAGAGCTTGTTCAAAATTTTGCATTTTGGGGAAAACCTATTTACAATGAGATTTTTTTTATTGAATGTACAGAATATGGACTTAAGTTATAACTCAGAGGGTAGTCCAAAGAACTGAAGTTGTTCACATAGCTTGTTCATTGACAGACTATTTTTCAGTACATTACTGGAAAAGTAATTTTTTGTCTTAAGAAGCAGCTCTGTAATGTGTAAAATGTCTTGAGTGATGCTGTCTTCAAAGATATTTCCAGAGGTTATGATTAGAATCATCAATGATTTAAGCCACACAGGGAGGGAGCCCCAGATGATAGATCCTATTTGGTTCCAAGTAGGGTGAAAAATTTATGGCTAAGGTTGGAGAAACATTTAACATTTATAGGTGAATGAAAGCTATTATTGAAAGGTAGATTCCACTAAATTAATTTGCATGCTGTTGAAAACTTTGACAGTTGCACAGAGCATACATCAAAATAATTCCTTATATAATTGTACTTCAGTCAGAGGTGCTTTATCAAGGATGTATTTGAGCCAGTTACAAATTAATTGAGAATGCCTTTATTTCTCTAATAAGCCCTGAATTTTCTGCTCTGTGTTCCTTTTACTACAGTTAGTGAAATTACAGTGCACACAAGACTCCCATTATCTTTTAGCTTTTAGAGCCAATTCTTGATGCCACTGAAGCTAGTGCTGACTGTGGGAGCAGAAGTCAGTTGAACCAAGCTTTGACACCGAAGGTTAATATTAACCATGGGTGGATGGAAAGAGAAACAAGAAATAGGGTCTTAGATAAAAGCTATTCAGATTATTATTCACTGATGTCCTTCCCAAAGTAATATTGCCTGTGGGTTTTAGAAAGATTTACAAGCAGAGGGCTGGACATTTAGTTAATGTAAATTGGGATAGCTCTCCTGACTTCAGAGACTACATTACATCAGCAGAAGATCTGATCAAAGTATTTCTTTTAAATATTTTATTTAACTTCTACATATTAATGTTTGGTTTTCACCTTTTTCTTTTAAAAAACGGATCCCAGTTTTTATATTGTAAGAAAGGTCCAATTTCATCTTGGTTTAGCTCCTTTGATGATGGGGATACAGTTTGCCTATTATGTTTTGATTACCTCTAAATCTGCTGATGTATGGGAGGGAATTGAATGAAGCTTGTAGGCTTGCTACTTACATTGAGCTGAGTTCAAGAGGTTACTCTGGCAAATCTTCCCAGGTAGCCATCATGCATAGGCCATTGGGAAAAGCTGCAGTGTCACACATAGCCAGATATTCCCTCTCCGAGAGGGGCCAGCAGACAATTGGCAAAAGTGAAATATTAAGAACCAATAATATAATCACCAACAGGTGACTTAAAATACATATGTTGTGCAACTTGGGCATCATTGCTGCTTTGTCTGTGGTGAATCCCCTGTGGAGGAAACCACTGTGGAAAACTAAATACATCGATGCTTTAAACTATTTCTTGAATTGAGTGTTAGATGGTGACCCAGGAAATCTGGATTCTTTGGCTCAGTCTTCAACGGCTGAAGTATCTCATCTCCCCACCTGTAAAAAGGAAAGAATCAAGATGTGTTCTGAGATCTATTGGTCAGAAATGACAGACAAGTCC